CGGCCGCGATCCCGCGGGGCAGAGCCGTCCCGAGACCAAGCTTGGCGTGCCCTGCAGCCCCGCCTGCCCCCGCCGCCCCCGGGGCGCGCTGTGGTCCCGCCCGGTGGCCCGTGGAGGACCTCGGCGTCCCACGCCTTGCGGACTGACGCGTCCCTCCTGCTGGCGTGCGGCGCTCGTGTTTGTGGGGTCGCTGGCCGGCTCCGCCGGGGCGAGGCTCCCGGAGGCGTTGGGGGGCGGCGGGTGCACCGCGGGGAGCGGAGCGTTGTGCGCTTCTCCAGCGGACGGAGCCCGGGGCAGCAGTAGTTGGTTGGTGTGAGTTGGCGCGTTTGGACCGCGGGAGGGACAACCCTTAACCCTTAGGGTCGTAGACCCAGATCGACCAGCGCTGCTCCGAACCTACTTCGTGTGAGTTTGGAGAGTGCGATTTCCCGGTGGCTGAAAGGTTCACTCTGGGACTCTGAGTTTTGTGGTGGGCACGAGTTACCTTGTGCTGCTTGCTGTGGGGGAGATGTTCTCCTACCCGGCTAACTTTTCTCTTGTGTTTGATTTACCTTTCAAAGCTCTAACAATCCAGATGGCAAATTCTATGAATGGCAGAAACCCTGGTGGTCGAGGAAACCCCAGAAAGGGTCGAATCTTGGGTATCATTGATGCTATTCAGGATGCCGTTGGCCCCCCCAAACAAGCTGCAGCTGATCGCAAAACTGTGGAGAAAACTTGGAAACTTATGGACAAAGTGGTGAGTCTGACTGCGCCAGTGCAAGGCCCTGTTCACCCCGCTGTGGTTCCTCCGGGTTTATTTAGACGTGCTCTTAATTCGTAATTATTGGTATGGTGACAGTCTTTTGATTTTATTACTGTTTTTCTTCTGTGCTTTGAAAAGTTGACTTCACAACAAGGGCTTGTTTTTTGTTTAACCTTTTATCATGCTCTTAAGGTTCAGAGTTCCTCTGTATGACTCAGATATGCAAAGTTTTTACCATTGGCCGCTTTTGGTGGGTGTATGGCCATTGTATGGGTTAGAGGTGTTTGTTCACTCTTATGTGAGGTTGTGTTGCTGTAAGATGACAACAGAGGATACAAAAAATAATTTAAGAAAAGTCTCTGAGAGAGCCCTTCTAGCAGTCACATGTGTAACGCTCTATTTACTGAGGAAAGCACCAAATCAGTCAAGGGAGGAAGCAGCGTTTGAGTTTCCATTTTCATATTGGAGCCTTCGTGTTCATTAAGAAACTTTGTTATTGTTAATGGTATAGGTACAGGTCCTTTTATGTACTATTCCATTTTGAAACAGGAAACCTTGTCAATTGCGTACTGTTTATTGTGAAAGGAAAATTTATGTTGGGGGTGGGGGAGCCGAGAGGATCAGAAACTTCTGCGGTTTCTGCTTGTTGCCTTTGAGATGAACTGTAATTTCACAGGGAGAAATCAAACTGGATATCAGTTCTCAGAGAAGTCCAGTTAGAAAGGCAGCCCAACGATCTTACAACGATCTACTGTAAAACTAGCTGTCAGTACTAAGTAGGATTATGAAATAAGTGCGATTAACATGTAGCTTGCTGCTTTGCAAAAATGAGCAGTTTTTGCTTCTGAAGGAGGAGCACTGTCCTGTATTTGTTGGTTAACCCTGATGGGTTTATTTCATAAATATTTGGGGCTCCTTATATGTTTAATCGAGGTAGGACTTTTGATGTCTTTCTACCTGCAGAAGTGGAAGCTTCAAAAATACTCCATTGAAACAAAGCTTTTGCAAATAGCAGGGAAGAGGGACAGAAGGGATGGGAGGGGAATGGGGAAAAAAAGAGCAAAGCACTCCATCATAGGGCTATGCCAGAGCTTCCTCTGTATTGCACGGTGGCATTCACCTTTGCTTTGGTTACCGTGTGCAAATGTAGGCTACAAAAAAGCCACTGTCCATAGTATTGGTAATACAGGAAGGTGACAAGGTCTACTTTGTTTTCTTTTATCCTCAGGGAAAGTACAGATAAGATAGGTGAGTGATGGGCCTGTTATTCTGTAGCCACTGGTGTTAAATGCAGAGCCAGAATATTTCTGCCAGATATATATCCTGACTTTGGGGATTCAGTGTGACCTATTTAAGCTTCTGCCAATTTTTATTCAAATTGTCATATTAAAGTGCTCCAGACAGAATGATGTCATGGTGTCAGAACATTGCAACGGGCTGCTTTGGGTCAGGGTTTGGTTTTAGTTTTCCGTACTTAAGAATGAGGAGTATGCTGTTGGCAAAAGTTGTATATATTTGATAGGCACAATACAAGCTGTACTTATTTTTCTAAGGTGTGCTTATTTTTCTTCCATGTGTGTATCTGGAGGTCATCCTCCTTGCCTAAATCATTGCTTGGGGGTGAGAGAAGGAATTGAAGGTTTATTCTAATTTATCTGTTACATAAGTGGTCAACAGATGGGTTAGATGATACAGAGGAGCTGTTCCTCTGTATCCACACCCATTTTTTGAGCAGTCAGACTTTGTATATTTGTGATTAGGGGTTCGAACATCAAATTAAAAAAGATTAATATAAGGAAATGGTGTACTGTGGTTACTGTGAAATCATTACTGAAACAGTAAAAATGGTGTGCCTAACTTTGGTCTTTACCTGGTGTTGCGCCTAAGTTTTATCCTGTTACCTATTTGAGCCTGAGTTATGGTAACATGGATGGCCATTTGATAGATGTCATTACTTACTTTATTAACCCTTTAGTCGGTTTAGGTTTAGCTTCCACAGCTGAGCCTGACTCACAAGGAAGTCTATTGTCCAAAGCCTCTACTTAGTGGATATGGGTCTGGGGCTGGCAAAGGGACATTAATTACTTGAGTTTCTCTCTCTGTCTTCATTATTTGTCAGAGATGAAAATGGGGAATACATTAGGGGGGTTTGTGGAAAAAGGTGACATAAATTATTATGACAGAGTTCAGTATGTTTATTTTTCTATCACATGGAACTAGAAAGGCCCTCGTGGTAGTATTTGGCGATATAATTTATTGACGTGTTTAACGCAGAAGCAGCCCCAACGTGTGTTTATCTTTTCTTATTTGCCTGTGGCGAAGGAAGTGTTCATAACAGCAATACTGTTCTGATGATTACATCAGGAACTTCATTATTAGTCCCAAACTGAATCCCTTGACACATTACCTAACTATATTTTTTGTAACTAACTGACATAGCGTGAGTTTAGCTTGCAAATAATGGAACATGGCAATTTTCAGGTTCTAACTGACTCTTCAGGACAAGGCAGGTTTAAGTGTGTAGTTAAATTTTTCTTTTCTTTAGGAAGCCTCTTTCCGAGAGCAAATCTCGAGCTATAACTACAGAGTAACTTACTTTATAACAGACAGTGGAACAGTTTTAGACTGTAAAGGAAATGTCCAGTAAGTGTGTAGTGTCACCACTTGTCATGTAATATTTAAAGTGATGAGCTGAGATTCCTGTTTGAAGTAATTGTTCTGTTTTCACAGGGCAGACTTTCTGTCCAAGGTCACTAAGAGTAGGAGAGCAGCTTCTCTGTGGAGTTCCTTGTGAAATGTAGACTGATTTGTAACAACATTAGTACCACAGAGTTAGCATGTGCAGCGGCTCAGAAAAGAACAGGAGCCTGACCCAAGGCATCCCATCGCTGGATGCCTCTTTCGTAAAGTGCTGGAACTGCTGCTCGCACATCCACTTCTAGATTCACATGCACCCAGCGTGAGCTGTGAAGTTTGTTCCAGAGGTAATACAGAAACAGGTTCTTAAACACTCAGCAGGCGTTTATTGAGACCCTAGTGTGTTCCTGCTCAGTGCCAGTTTCTAGGATACAAAGCTAGCCGAGACGAGGTTGTGCCCTTGACCTGCAGAGGAACCGGAGGACGCTGTCAGGTAATACCGCTATGTGCTATGGAAAGAGCTGTAACGCAGATTCAATGCGAGCTGTAGTGGGAGGAGGGAAGAGCCAGCTTGTTTTCCTGGCCACTCTTCCGTTTTCTGCCTTGGTTCTGTCGGACATCGCCTTATAGGGTCAGCGTCATTATCCTCGTGTTGGAAATGCTGAGGTGAGGGTAAGGAAATGATTGGTAACCAGTATGGTTGAAGTCATAATTTATTAATATGAGGTTCCTGAGTGTGGTTTTCACAAGAGTCTTAGCCAGGTGATAGAAAATAGGAAAAAAAACCAAAAAACAAAAAAACTTTCCATCTTTTACGTGCTAAATGTACCCAACTTGTGTATTTCTCGGGAAATTAGAAAATAATTAATTCATGCTAAAGAGCAAAGCAGATTGAGTACCTGCCCAAGTTTTTTTCTTGTTGTCCTTGTCATTTATTTGAAATTACATTACTGAGAGAGTTTTAAAAGCATTTAAAAATGGTGGTGCCAAATAGCCTTTTCCTGCCTTTTACCATTAGTACATTTGTCAAGTATGAAATATAATTTATTTTCTATAATTCCACTGTGATCATAATGCATTTTAGAATGTGTCAATCAGAGATGCTTAGATCACATTAAAATGATGAGTGAATTTTAAAATGATTTCCTCAGACCCCTGAAAAATAGTCCCTATGGGGTAAAACTTGGGTTTTGAATGCCAATTATTTGTGTGTTGGTTGGTTTTGAGCATCTTACCTTCCTAGGGCTTTGAAACAGGCAGCATTATTTATCTTAGTTATTACTCTTCTTACATTTCCTTTCCCTCATTAAAATTGTAGCTGAGCAGAATTCTGGGCCCTGGTAGGCTTGGATGGGGGATAGTACCAGTGCTCATTAAGTGTTAGACAACTTTGCTTACTACTGAGATAAATTTTGAATTTATTCTGAGACCATGCAGGGATCCCAAAGTTTGCTACTTATAATTTCTTAGAAAAAGCTTTATTTAAATAAATGATTTAAAGGTATCCTACTAAGATTTATTTTCCTTTATCTCTGTGATAAAAATTATGTATACACTGAAACCTTCAATTAGTAATCTTTTAACTTTTACAAAAGTTTTATTGTTTATATTTTGAGCATTTCTTTTTTTCACAAGTTGCTTTATGTACTGTCTGTGGACCTCCTTATTCATTTGTCAGATCCCAAATACAGGAAGACAGGCATTTTTAAATAAGCATGCCAACTTGAGCAGCTTCGTTGAAGGTAATAATATGTAATATAACAACCACTGTTAATTCCTACCATTTTGTTCTGAAACCCTGTGTCACTTTTATTGTTTTGTTTTTGTCTGTATTGTTGGTATAAAGAAAAACGGTGCCACACAGCTGAGTGTGATGTTGTGTTAATAAAGTGCTGCGCCGTGGTGTGTGGTAGGGGTGATGGTGCCCTGTGAGAATTAGTGCAGAACAAATCACAGAGAGGGTCCTGCTCAGGTGTTCTTAAAGGATGGTTTGGAGTACAATGAGATGGAGGGCGCGTCACCCTGAGGAAATGAGGAGGGATTGTAGAGAGAGAACGTACATGAGAGGCTCGGAGGTTCTGAGTGCTTCGTCAAAGAACTTGGACCTAACTTATTCGGTAGCCAGGCAACCGCTGATAGAAGAAGGGAGAGGGAAAAGCAGTTTCTCTTGGTATACTACTTGTTTGACTTTGAAGGTTGGAGTAAGGGAAAGAAACTGAAAGAAGGCGTAACAGTCAAGAAGAACTGCAGCAATCTGAGCAAGAGATAACACAGTTGGCCTAGAGAATTGGCAGTGGCGATAGTAAACGGTGGCTTACAGGTGGAAGGCGTTCTGGAGGTAAAACTGCAGGCCCTTG